AAAAAAAAATTCAACTGAATCTTTTCAATTAACAGCAAGAGAAAAATAAACTCTCATTATATTTGATGGTCTTCAATTTTAGTCACCGGTAGCCTAGTGACAAGAAGCTGCACTGCAATCCTGAAGGCACACGGTTTCAATCCACCAAGCTACTCTGCATGAGAATGACAGGCAATCTCCTCCCTGTTGGAGGATCAGCTATGGGTCAGTTCCAACTTCACAGCACACAACAGTTTTAGTCAAGTAACTTCTCTTTTATTAACTTTTCACTCTTTGCGTCTTCTGTTCTACAGCACTTTTTTAATTAATAGAAAAAAACAGAAACCATAATTGTACAATTTGACACAATAAAGATTTTATGGCGCTTTCTATTTCACAAGGAAATAGCCAGTGGTTATTCAAAGTTTGAAGATTCAACTGAATCCCTTCAATTATCAACAAGCTTCATGGTGTATCCTGTAATGGATACACAAAGAGATGGTATTTCACTGTTAAAGCACAGTATCAAATCTACTGTGTCAAATACTATATGTAGAGTCAAATACATGAAATCAGCACTCATAAAACTTCCTATTCGCAGTTGCTGCTGTATGACCAGGGACTGGCAGAAGAAGAATTAATGCCTTTGAGTTGTGATGCTGGAGAAGAGTGTTGAAAATAACCACAGACCGCCAAAAGAACAAATAGGTCTGTCCTGAAGCGAGGGAAACCAGTTTGCTCTTTGGGGACAAGGATTTTGAAGCTCCATCTTACATACATTGGGCATCAACTAGTCCGTGGAGGACATTATGTTTGGAAGGATGGCAGGATGGCACAGGAGAGGAAGACCCTGGACAAGACAGATTGACACAGTGACAGTGGCAATGGGGTCTGGTGTGTAAGAGATAGTGAAGCTGACTCGGGATAGGGTGGGGGTCAGAGCCGTTGTTCACAGGGTCGATGTGAGCCAGTCAACTTGAGGGCACATAACAACAACAACACAATTTTTAAAAGATTATAATGCTCAAGACAGATCCTTTCCCCCACCCAACCCCCAAACATTTAAGCTAAAGTAGTGCTTTCTAAAAGAAGATTTCAGGGGATATTTTTGTTTTAAAGCTTAAATTTTATCTCAGAGCCATTATTTCAAAGGTTCACTAGTCTGCATGGCTCCAGGAAGTCCGGAGTCTATAAAAAATTTTAAATTCTGATCTATATCTTCCCCTTCTCAATCATGATTCTTCTATAGGATCTTTGACTTCAAATGATTAAAAGAAGTCACAGCAAAACAGCATTCTTGACCTCTTGTCTTGCAAGCTAAATTTTACATAATCAACTTCATGGAGGGAAACATGCAAAATGTTCCCTTTGAAGCAAAATGAAACTCAAAGAAAACGCTGTCTAGAAGTACAGAGGTGAGTATTGAGTGCTATGTAGCTCCAGGAAGCAGCACCGTTGACAAATGCAAACAGCAAAGACCACCCCACAAGCATAAGCAGCTACAGTGGAATATGCCTTCGCTTGTAGAAATGCATTCCCAGGACACTGGGAAGAAGGGGAATGAAGTCTCTTCCCAGAGTTTAAATACATTTCATGCATCAAGCCTTGTCTGAATCTGATTTATCTAGCTTCATTTTTTATTTATTTAATAAATAAATAAATTTAATAAATAAATAATGCCAATACCTTCAGGATGTGCCTCACTGCCTCCCCGGGGGCCCCTATATCACTAGCTAAAGCCTCAAAAGCAAGGAGGAGAAAAAGCATGAATACCGGCCACTGTGGTTCAAATCCAAAAGAAATTCTGCCTTTTCATTTTTATCTTCATTTGAGACTTCCATATGGACCAGTGTACCCAAATCCACTTGACGGTCAGATGGTAGGAGAAAGTGTTTAGCACTGTATATTTCTCTTATGAGTAATGATACCAGACGGATTATGAAACGAATATCCTCCAGCACACCAAGAGCCAGGGGCTTTGTTGCCATTTTCTTCCAGGAAAATTACTTGGAAAGTAATGGGCTTTAGTTAAGTCTCATTTCTTAAAAATTTAAGATTTAAAATATGTATTAATGTATCAGAAGAAAAAGATATTTTATTCCTTCATCTCATTTCTTTTAAAAAGTTCTTTTAAAAATTGAGTATGCCTTTTCATTAAAGATATATCAACTAGTGATTTAATATTTATAGCATTTTAAGTACAATGTTGTATGAATGTCATTTTTGCTATAAGTACTTGTTTTCTTTCATATTAATTGTCCTGATAGTATAAAAAACAATGTATATGAACAGACTTTATAAGCAAACCAATATAAAATAATTTTTTATTTAAAAAATTATTGTCCATGAAAATGTTACTAAATGTCATACTTCTAAATTCAACTAAATAATAATTCAAACAAACATGCTTACTTAGTAACAATATTAGATAATGTATACACAGGTACTTATATACACAGATACATTGATATGTATATAAACACTTAGATTATTTTGTCTCCTACCAAGTAAACCAAAATTCATTTTCTCAGTAACACTATGAAGTAGAAACTGTTATGAACCTCCTTACACAAATGAGGAAACTGAGGAACCAAGTTCAGTGACTTTTCTATAATAAAAAATAAGTGGTGGCTCCTGAATTCAAGTCAAGCAGCTTGACTCCAGAGCTCAGGTCAAGTGTTGTATTTAGTCTGTTGGGTATCCCAAGTGGCAAGTGCCAAGCTGCGCTGCTCTGAGGATAAACCATAACAGAAAGGGACATAAAAGCAAAATTCAAATGTTCACCTGTGCTGTGACAGCAACTGTGTTTTTAAAAAACAAGACCAAAATGGATTATTACAAAATGTTAACAACCTTCACCACTGGGAAATGGTTACTCTTTTATCAATTCTACTACGTTTGTGAAAAAAAAAAAAAAAAAAAAAAAGAGGGGAGTTTTCTCCCGTGTGATTTATGGCCTCTGAGGCACTGCTTGGAGGGTCAGCTATGAGTTTACTCTGACTCAATGGCACACAAAACCTGACAATTTGGGGGCTTTAAAAATTAGATAATACACATATTAAGTTTGATGAAGGAAAGGTTATTTAAAATAAAGCCTGATTAAAATGGTATCACTAAAAAAAAAAAAATGGTATCACTAGAGAAACGGAAGACACTGAGGCGTGCAAGAGTTCTAGACCACTCACTGCATACTCAGTTTTGCATGATCAACAACACCAAGCTGTATGGAGATACACAGGCAGAGACACACAATAAAACAGATGCATTAACAAAAGGAACTGTACCCATGATCACGCTTACTTTAAAACAAATGAAACTGAAATTCTTTTTTTTTTTTTAATCAGACAAGAAAGAGTGAAAGTAAAAATTCCCTCATGCTTCCAAAGTACTGCTTCCCCTACCCCCAAAGCAAAACAGGGGGTTTTAAGTAGAAGATCATGACAGACTCCAACGACGCACCCCAAAATGGTTTCTCTCCCAAACTGAACCACAGCTCAGGCGGAAATATGTGCAAGCTGACCTCGAGGGCCAGTATTTAAAACAAATCATCATCATCAACAACAAAAAAGCCAAAGGCAATCATTTATGTACAACACTATTTGTTGAATCTGAATCAGTCCATAGCTGACCCTCCAGTGGGCTTTCAGAGGCAGTAAATTGCATGGGAGCTGACTGCCCATCTTTTTCCCACTGAACAACTGGTAGATTCTAACTACATTCCTTTGTGCTGACAGTGCAATTTGCAACCACTAAGTCATCAGTACAATCATAAATATTTTTAAAAGTCTTAAATACTGGGGAGCTCTGGTGGCCTAGTGGCAAGAAGTTGCATTGCAATCCCAGAGGCGCACGGTTCGAATCCACCAGATGCTCTGCCAGGGAAGGAGGGGCAATCTCCTCCTGTACCAGTCAGATCTGATTTGACGGTACACACACACACACACACACACACACACACACACACACACACAAATAATTTAAAAAAAAAGTCTTAAATACTGATAGATGATTAATAAAAATGACAACAGTAGAGCAGAATGGTTTCTCAAAAGTCCTGACTCATACTCAGTTATATGCTTAAAAGTTTCCGAGGGAAACCCACAAGCATCTGCGTACAAACGTGTCACAGTGAATGTTAATTAACGAAAGCATTACTTGTTGTTGATTGCTGTCAAGTCGGGCACAACTCATAACGACCTTATGAACAAAAGACCTGAAGCTTTTCTATAACTATTGTCATTTCTCCAAGTTCATAGATTTTTTTCCAGGGGCATACTGTTTAGGAAGTGGATGCCACGCCTGTTTCCAAGTCTGTCTTAAATTGGGAGCTCCACCAAACACTGTCCATCATGGGTAACTGTTATGGCATTTGACACCCCAATAGCACAAGGTTCAGCATTACAGTAACTCCAGGTTACCTCAGTACAGCATATTGACAGAAGAGTGCTGTACCACTTAGAAGAATCTTTCTACAAAATGTAATAACAACTGATTTTTAAATATAAAAGTCCTCCCTGAGGTCTTGTTGACTCTAAACATGAGGCTTAAGCAAAAAAACAACCAATATAGTAAGTTGTTATGTGTCATTGGGCTGCCTGCAACCTATAGCAACCCTATGTATAGCAGCTCTGAACCCTTCTTGTCCTTAGCCAGTCTCACTAATTACTCCACATCAAATCCCTACACATAAAATTTCTGACGTTTAAAATTTTCATTTTGTTTTCCCAAACCAGTAACTTCTTTAATTCCCCTACTAAATTTAACTGCCCAATGCTGATCTTCTATTGTTTAGGTAACAACAGATTTGATCTTATCCACTGTGATTCAGGCCGTGGTCTTTTCAATCACTTGCTAGGAATCTGAGAGCTGGACAATGAATAAAGATGACAGAAGAATTGATGCCTTTATAGTGCAACAATGAATAAATGGAAACCCAAAATCTCTGTAAGTGTTCATTAAAATTAATAAATTTAAAAAAAAAGAACTGATGCCTTTGTGTTGTGGTGTTGGGGAGAAGAGTACTGAATATCCTATGGACTGACAAAACAACAGACAGACATGTCTGGGAGAAGGTGCAGCCAGAGTGCTCCTTGGAAGCAAAGATGACAATGCTCACATGTTGCTAGAAGATGCTATTCCTTGGGAGGGGATATCATGCCTGGAAAGGCGAAGGGCCAATGAAAGAGAGGAAGAGCCTCAAGGAGATGGCTGTGTCAGGGATGACGAGGACGGCGCAGGTATGCATACTGTCTTCCATGTGCTGTTTTCAATCACATGTCTTAGAGATTGATGAATAGCTCCATAAAACATGGTATAACCAGTAAGAGGCCACGTAAATGTTTCTTTATTGATAAAAAAAAGTATTTCAGAAAAAGAAGGATAAAGAAAAAAGTACTAACCTTTTTTCTATTTTAGGACCTATGTATGTGTGTGTTTTAAATTTCTAGGAAATCAAATATACCCATTTAATTTTCTATTGTCTCTCGTGTCCCAGTTCTTACCAGTGTCCATTTGCCAGACGTACACAGAGCCATCCGAGCATCCAACCACCAGGTAGTCATCAGAAGGCCTCCACTTGATCACGTGGATAGGGAAAAGGTGCCGAGATGCCAGCATGATGCACTTTTTCTCTCGCAAACTTAGAAGTCCTACTGAGTGGTCGCTGGCTACCGAGCAGACACAGTGCTGCACTCGTGCCTGGAAAGAAGAAGAAACCTGGATCACCTGGAGATTAAAGGCTGAATAAAATCGATCCTGCCCTCAATACCTAAAAAACAAACAAACAAACAAAAAAACCAACAACAACAAAAAAACAACCAAACAAAAACCCACCCCAAAGTCAGTATACACTCAGCACCTTGGCCGACCAATCTTAAGACGAGGTTGTGTTGAAACATCTGCATTTCCTCATACTGTGCACAAAACACCCAGTGGAGGAGCGTCAGGGGTGGGAATACTACACCATTATTCCATAAAAAATGGGAAGGATGTGCTTGGAGATCTGCTGTTCCACTCCAGGGATGACCTTACTGCAAAGATTGCTGCGTTTGACCTGGCAAAGCGGAACGCAAATTGATCTGTTATTATGGGCTCTCTCGCCACAGTCCGAGCGCGCCTTTGTTTCCAGCTCCAGCTGCTTTCTGCGTTGCTGCTTTCTGTCGGTGAGCCTGTCATTTAGGCTCCTGCTCCTTTCTGCACCTCTGCTCAAAAACACCACCCTCGCAGGCCCTCTGTGCCTCCAATTCTTAGAGCCCCAGCTACTTTACACTGTCGCGTGGATGTGCTTCCCTCCACGACGCCTGCAGGGGCACCAGCTCCACTAACCACATTGCAGTCCGTTCAACGCACTGTCCGTCCATAGCTGTGCGGGGTCGTGGGGACCTGTTTCTGAATGCAAACCCTCGGTGGACTCATTTTCTTTTCATCATGATTTTGCTTTATTGTCTTCAAGCTTATTTTGATTTTAAATGATTTCTCTTTTTATAAATAATCGAAAGTAAATTTTCAATGTGGTCAGGAATTAATAGTGTAAAGAATAGTATGCTTCAACTGTTTACTTAGTTTTGAATTTCAAGTGTGTTGTTCTTTGTCAGCTTTATGTATCCTTTTTGCTTTATATTTTAATCACTATGATCAGTATCAACCTCAAACTCACTGCCTTCAGGTTGAGACAGACTCACAGTGACCCGCCAGAAGGTTTCACAAGACGCTGTGATTTGTTAGAAGGAGATTGTGGTTTCTACTGCTGAGCTGCTGGTGGATTTGAACCATCTGAGAGGTCCAGCCTTTGGGTGAACAGTGCAGCTCATGACAGACACGACTCTAGATTGCCCTGAGATCAGTGTAACAGGTGTTTCTCAAATTTCAAATGTAAGAGAACTAAGTTTAAAAAGATAACATACTATCAGTTGGCCAGAGATAGCTGGGTCCACTCTGGATTCTTGAGTCTGTTTCACTGTTCTATATGCCTGTCATTGTACCAGAACCATGCTGTTTTGGTCATTACTTCTGTGTAGTAGGATTACTATGCCTTTCCATTTTTGTTTTTCAGAAGTGCTTTGTTTATTCAGAGTCTCTCTCATCTCCAAATAAACTTAAAAATTTCTCTTTCAATCTCATTGAAAAAGTAATTTTGTATCTGTAATGGGATTGCACAGAACATGTAGAAAGACTTCTAGTAGGATTGTAATTTTTACTATATTGAGTCTTCCTATCCATGAACATAGAACAATTTTCCATTTATTTAAGTTTTTTATTGTTTCTCACAGAAGTGTTCTGTAGTTTTCTTTGTACAGGTCTTTTGTATCTCTATTTAAGTTCATTCCTGGGCCCATTTATTTATGGTTAACTGATGTTCAACACGGAAGTAAAATTGTCAAATGAGAAAATGACAACCTATTCAACAAATAAATGGTGTTGGTAAAACTGGGCTGCTACTAGGAGAAAGTTGAAACAGGATCCACACCTCACACCATGCACAAAAATCAACTCAAGGTGGATCAGAGACCTGGGAGTAAAGCCCCAAACCAAAAAGTTCAAGAAAAACTGGGATTAAGCTGAAAGCCCTAGTCTACAGTATAATGAAACTGACAAATACAGCCAGAAATGCACAATCTAGAGAGGATAAAATTAATGAATGAGACCTTCTAAAGACTAAGCCCCTGTGTATATCAATCAAAAACTTTTACCAATAGGGTGAAAAGAAAACCTACCAACCGGGAAAAAATATTTGGTAGTACCACCTCAGACAAGGGTCCCATAACAAAAGTTTATGACCACTACTTGGTCTCCAGAAGAAAAAGACCAATAGCCCAATTACAAAATGGGCAAAAGACAGAGAAAGACTTTTCACAGAAGAAGATATTCTGATGGTGAAGAGACATATGAAGAAATGCTCAAAATCCCTGGCAATAAAAGAGATGCAAATTAAAACCACAGTGAGATACCATCTCACCCCAGTAGCAGTGGCAGGGTCTAGCAGGAGGGCAGCAATAGATGCTGGAGAGGAGATGGAGAGGTGGGAGCACTCACACACTGCTGGCAGGATTGTAAAATGCAACCTCTCTGGAAGGCAGTCTGATGTTTCTGCAAAAAAAGCTGAACACAGAAACTCCATATAACTCAGTTATTCCAGTACTAGGAATATAGCCCAAGGAAATTAGAACTGAGACATAGAAATTTGTACACCAAAGTTCATAGCTGCATTATTCAGCATCACAAGAACATGGAAACAGACCAAATGTCCAACCACAACCAAATGGATTTAGAAATTGTGGTAGATTCACACAATGCAATACTGTGCAGACCTCTGGAGCAAAAATTTAAAAAAATACTACGTAACACGGGAGAGACTGAAGAGCATTATGCTTCAGAATCAACTCAGTCTCATAAGGGCAAGTACTGCATAAGACTATCATTATAAAAACAGAAGGAAAACTACTAAAATATATATGGATATCCAAGGAAGAGAATAGGGGGAGCAGAGAGAGGGGATGGGTAGGGGCAAAATTACAGGGTTGCACAATTTGGTGGGTGGAGGGAGGGGGTCATGGAAATGGCAAAGATCAGATGGGGTCCTGAAAAGACAGGGTAATGGTGCATATAGTCCAATGGTGGTTCATTTTACAAAACATAAGGAGTGAGAATTATTGCACAAAGCACCATGTGAATGAAGAATAGTGTGAAATAAAATATATATGAAGTTTGTAAGCAAATCAATATAAAATAATTTTTAAAAAAAGATAACATAAGCCTTTATGAAAACATCACACAGAATTTTCTTAAACAAGCATGTGTTAGACATTTCATGTTCCTATAATATTTAATTGAAATATCAAATGTTATTTTTTATAAGAGATATTAAAGATTAAAGGACATCTAGCTTCTGTAATAAAACTTAGCCTTAAACCAACCGAAAAAGCAAAATAAATTGGTAGACTACACATACAACTTAAACATAGGGAGTATTAGACAAAAACAGGCTGAAAATGATACATGCCTGGATGCCTTTATTTTCCACTAGTTCAAACTACATAAAATATGTATGCTGTTTCAACAGACATATATTGCTACTTCAAGAGACAGACCACTTATACAATGGAAATGGATGCATTGCATTTCTGAGTTATCATTGAGTCTGTATTAATAAAAGATACCAAATATTCTTTTTTATCTAAAAAAAAGCATTATTTTATGTGGCCATGGTATACATAGACGTGGCCTGATCAGTTTTTCACTATACCACTGGGATTCCTTATAAATGACAATTAGTAAATAATTTATTTTTACCCAATAGTCTTACATAGAGTGGTTGCTATGTTATTAACACTATTTTCTATTTTGCAACATTCATCTGCACAAACATATCAATTTCTTCCTTTTATCAGAGAAAATAAAACTAAGAGTGGTTATTTTCCCTTTATGAAAGAAAACCAGAACAAATGATTCATCAACAGCCCCCTTCCCATCTACACACATCCTTCAATTGCACATTGACCCACCAAAACACTCACACTTGTCACTTTTGACTCAACATCTCATAAGCTCTCCATAAGCCTATTTTAAAAGAGCTGCTCCTTAATTAGTGTCACCCTCAAAATGACCTACTTGCTAGCATTCAGGTCTAAGTCACTGTAGGAAGGTTCACACTCTGTCATCAGATTTTAAAGGCCAGAGAAAACTAGGTATGAGTCAATATGAAGTTTCTCCTTTGGGTTTTTCTTCCCCACCCCCCTTTATTTTTTTAATTGATTTTTTAAAAATTATTTTTGTGTGAGTATACCGTCAAATCAGATCTGACTGATACAGGAGGAGATTGTCCCTCCTTTCCCGGCAGAGCATGTGGTGGATTTGAACCATGAGCCTCTGGGATTGTAGTTGCAGCTCCTTGCCATCAGGCCACCAGAGCTCCCCCCTCCCCTTTATTTTTAAGTCAGCCTCAATTTATGCTCTGTGGGCAGATCTGAACATTAGACACTAAGCTATGGAGTCTACTGTTCTACCCACTACCTCTGTCAATAACTATCTATCTATCTATCTATCTATCTATCTATCTATCTATCTATCTATCTAACATCTACCTATCTATCTATCTATCTATCTATCTACCTACCTACCTACCTACCTATCTCCTAGAAAAGCAAGAGCAGCAGTCATTAAGCAAATAAAATAAAAACCAACAACAAAAACCTTCTGCCATGCCTATGATAAACTTAAACTTGGCATTCTTAACCTCTCAGGAGAAGTCTCAACGTCAGAACTTTTGATCTTTCCTTTGTCTCTTCATATATGTGCAGGGGGACAATTTCAAAGAGTTAAGAAAAGGCAACCCTTTTTGATGAATTGAGGAATTTATACATGACATTATTATTCTTATATAATACTATTTTCTTTAAAATTCAAACATATTGCAATCGAGTTGGTTCTGATTCATGGAGATGAATCTTTATGGGAGGAGATTATCCATCTTTTCCCCCAGAGCATCTAGTGAATTTGAACTAATTACCTTCTGATCAGCAGCCCAAACCCTCATCATTACCCCATTCGGGTTTCATATACTAATATAAGGACATAAAAGTAACAAAACGACATACAGATCAATACAAAACAACAGCAAGTTTCTGTTTTAAATAACAGATGTTGTGTCAAATGTGTAAAAAAGCCCAAAATCCTCCAATTGTTAAATTTCTAAATTTTTT